TACGAGTAATGTTTGGGCAAGTGTGATCACAGTGTATTGCGATGCCACAGTCTGTACTGCGGTGCAGTGTACCCTGAGGTCCCAGTGTACTGCGGCCCACTGCACTGCAGTGGCCAAGTGTGCGCGAAGTCTATAGGAGCGTCGAAAGTGACAGTGAAGCAAACATGAAAGTTTAGGTTAAGCTTATCAACAATACCCCCCACCACCCCTCCAGTACGGTCGTTTCGCGTTTTCTCTCTCTCTGTCTTTCTCTTTCTATGCTACGCATGCATAAAAGTAGCCTTAGGTTGGTCGAACGTGCGCTCGCACCCATTACAGTACGGTCGTCTAAATGATGCCGCAATACGCAAATATGGTGAAATTGTTGAGCGGCGCATTTCTAGTCGATATAAAGTGTATTTTTCGTCACCAAAGTCACAATATCTTCAGCCTTATATATAGCTTAGCTGTGTAGTCGTGTATTTTGCACAGAGAGCACAAGTCGCACAACCTCGTGAATATTTAGCAAGAATGATGTCGAGTACCACTCACGCCTGTGTCTTCGTACCAGCACTTTTTTTATACTCACAAGCGCACGATGTTAGTAGATGCAATCAACATAACGAGAGAAAGGATGCTCCGGAATGTGACGACAAACTATGTCACCAGCCTGTTGTCTTGTGGCCAAACCGAGTTTTCCCACTATCATGTCTAGTCACAGGACTTTAGCAGGATACACATCACTCGATTCCACATGCCTCACACCACTAGTAGTGGCGCGACTACTGTTACTGCTGCTGCTACTGTGCTGCTGCTACCACTTCCTTTACTATTATGCTTTTATGAGAACTACTACTACAACTACTATCACTACTACTTCTACTAATGCTATACATTACTGACCCTTCTGTTACTTCAATGACTACTGCAGCTTCTGGCTTATTACATTAATCACTACTTGCGCACTAGTCTGCTAGTCGTATCGGAAGCTCCTTGCAAAACGGTCCCATAAGGTTCCAGTGGATGAAATTGTTGCGATGCGCGTTTGCGATGCGCCATAATAGCCTATCAATTATTGTCTTTTGCCAATGCTTGATATAAGGGAGAAAATTCGTGTCGTAAAGTGTACGCATTCACTGCTTAAACAATGACTTTCCTATGTGGCAGTCGAAGGGGTAACGGGTGCCTTGCTGTGCCAAATTATTTGTTGACATTAATTTATTACGCAAATTTGACAAGTAGCTGCACTTGATTCGTGGCCGTCAGATTGCCTAAAGTAGATCTCCCGTTACAAGACTGGAGCTCCCAAGGACAGCACAGTGCTCTTTCCTGTACTTTGTGTCTCTTCCTGAAGTTGTCGCGCTGTTACTCTAACATAACCATGGTTAACCAACTCGCCCAAATTAAGCTCTTGTTGGTGATAGCATGTGATAGCAATGAAATACTTTTTACGATATGAACGAGACACATACCGCGACGCGCTAAACACGATGGCAATCGCAAAAAGTGTCGTAACGTATTTCTAAACTCCAAGCATGTTCCAACATAAAAATGTAGAGCAGTTATAAACTAAAGTACCGTTTGCAAAAAACCATATACTTTTTCACTAATATGGTGACTATAATGCAGCGCTTTTGTTGTGATATTTCCCAAATGATGAAGCTCCTACAAGTGCTGTCATTCTAGTGACTTAACAGTCGTTTACGATCATGGAAGATCCAAAGCAAATGTTTCATACATGCCTTAGTGAGCTTTGTGTAAGAAGTTCACTACGGCCTGGTCTCTTGCTTAATGAGTCATGCTCTCTTAATGTACCGCCGTGTGTAGGATAAATAAAAAAAGTGTAGGCGTGGAACTAGACGCCGTACTTCTTTCTATCTTCAGTTCCTGACCAGAATCCCATAAGGCGCTTGTGCTGTGGAATTTCGCTGGTTTCAAGTTAGCATATATACTTCACAGAAACTAGTGCCTAGTTGTATTGGTGCCGCCTTCTTTATATGTCTAAGGACCAGGCACTTTGGGTTGCGCGGCTGGCGCGATTTGAAATCCTATACACAGAACACATTGTTGTGGTCGAAGACTTCCTCTTTCGAAACATAATACTTTTCTGGGGTGTATTTTTGTCGGACCACAATAACTGTCGCACATCGTGGGTACTTTCTTGCTTTAAGCTAATCTCGCACGGAACTTTCAAGTCACGATCAGCACTCGTGAAATCAGCGTGATATAGCAATGCTGATAAGAAATCGGCAATCGCCGAGTTCCCAAGAAATGGAGTTGCGAGACAGCCAGATCATGATTAATGCCGTGGAGCAACAAAAATACACCCAGAAGGATGCAAGTTATTTTCATGGTGTTCATAGTGTTCCGGGTGGCCTCGAAACACGCTTTCATTAACTATACAAAAAAGTATGTGTTAGTCTTTTTTGGTCAGTCCTAACTTATATGACTCTCTTTAAAAAGTCATGACAACTCTCTTGAGGTGTTTCACAACACTGACGAAAGTATATTGATCCTCCCTCAAAGAACGTTCACGTGACTTCTAATACGGAGTCAAATACATAGGCAGTCAGGACTCGAGCGAAGAGTGAAATGAATTTTTTTTCATTACAGTGCGTCAGAAACAGTATCGCAGTTTTATCTTCAAAATTTGTAACCTTCCCGTTTGTATCTTACTGCACACGTTCGACAGAGTGTCATTTCTTGCTGTTTAGCCTACTGCTAAGATCGCGATGTCACCTCCATGTGCCTCTTGTTTATGCACTGTCATAATATAATTACAATATGTGTGCGCTGTTGTGCGGCGTCGAGTGAGATAACTTGTACAGCTATTTATTATAATGATTGCCTAAACGATTCCACGATACCACTTTTGGGGGTATACTCCGAGAACTGGTAGGTATTATGATAACAGAAACTACGTATGATCTTCTATGTACAATACAATGAGACGCTCTCGCGTCTCACGTTCCCCTATTCCTCGTGAAGCCACGGTTTTTTGTTCAGCGACATTGTGCTGCCAGAGTACGTACCTCGCGGTTGCTCACTGTTTATGCTTTGCATATTGTGCTGCCACTTTGCATCTTCCCTTGTTTTTGTTTGTTTTTCTTTTGTGTATCCCTGTGATGTACCTATTTTGCTGGCTCTCCTTTGAACTGGATGCATTAAATTATGCTGCCGAACTGCGACTTGAGTTTGTGCTTCATTTTGGAATCCTTGGTTGCCTCTCGTATTGTTGAATGGCCTGATGGGCATTGTGTGCGATGCGCTTATAGAATCGGCGTGTGCTGCGGCGTCAACCCACGTCCGAGTGAGTAAGTAGCATGCATTTCGCTCGTGCGAGCAAAGCTGGTTTGACTGGCATGCTTACCTGATGTGACCATTGGGATGGGGACACCAACCGAAAATCGTTAATTAGTTGGTTGGTGTCCCTTTTCCAATGTTATTTTCTTCCCAACCAGACAGACGTCTCTCAAATGTTCACATGGACCTCATGATCCTTGAATAGCTTGTCGGTCGATCCGCCTATACTATTCATTGTTATGCAAAGTTATGAAGCTAAGTAGTAGGCATGTGTGGGCACATTTTCGAATAGGTTGCAGAATGATGACGGGTGCAGTGGGGCAGCTGACAAATAGAGGCAGGCAAGCGTGCGATACGAAACGTTTGAACACCATAGCACTTGCTCTTTGCATCAGTTGCTGTAGTGTTAGAAGTAAAATCGCCACAAAAAATCCAGATTATGGAATCGCCTTTGCAGAGCTTTCAGTTTACAAATTACGCTTGCCAATCGATTGTTGCTTTTGCTAATAATAATATGTCCCACGTAAGTATTAGATACCATCTGCTTTGAATAACAGGTTTAGTGTAAGAACTTACTGTATAATGCATTGCACGCCTAAGCTTATCTTACCTAACAGCTACACCATGTCACACTTGAGAAATATAGATCCGCTAGGAGGCCAGTTATGCAGCCACGGCGCCATCGCCCTCTATCGTCAACACGAGGCACACGTTTTCACTCCTCGCGAAAATAGCGCGCGTCCAACAGTAGTTGAGGTGAGTCACGAAATGGGCACGATCAGCTGCTGTTCAAAGTTCGACTCGAATGCCGTTGTAGGCTGAGCAGCTGGTGCTGGTGGCAGTTGTGTAAATGAAGCTGAAATACTGGCAACGCAGCGCACGATGCCTGCTTTTGTCTGTAGTTGAGAGGTCAATTAGCGGAAGCCCAGTTCAGCTGCTGTGGTCAGTGCGACGGTAGTCTTGAAATGCGAGGCCTAAGGATGGTTATACTGCGATCCTTTTCTCAGGCCACAGCGCAGCGTGATGTTGTATAGGCCTAAACGTGTAGTATTAGAGCAGATTGGCGTTAATATGTACCTGAAGAACGGACCTGAGGTAAGAAGTGTGCGCGCGGTCTCTCATTACAAGGGGCTCCACAACCTCACGCCCCCACCCCCTCCTCCTGCTTATCCACACGTCTTCTTAGCCTGTGGTGCCATCACATAAAAATTGTGAACAAATGGCACAGTTTATGCACAATATAACGTCGTTCAAAGTTTAGGTATCTTAATGCACTGACACTGGTCTACATAAGAGCTATAACCAAGCACTTGTGGTTGCATGTACATACAGTCAGCATTTTCAAGGCTCTTCGTCTTTATTTTAACAGACATGCATATGACTTCCGCGCTCTGTTTGCAAAGTAATAGATTTCAGTTAAGTAAAATTGCTCCCCCTCACACACAGAAAAGGGCGGGGGTAAATGTCATGACTTCACAGGCCCTCCACAGAGCCCACTAATATTTGTAGTGCTAGCAGAAAAGTCGAAAACGACTCTAGTTCATTTTAAAAAAAAGTTTGGTGACAGCGTGGGCTGAATAGAGATACTCTCGTATAACGTACGAGTGAAAAAAAAAACTGCAGAGAATGAGTTTGCCGCCTAAGAACCAATGGGAACGCATGCCTGGCTGCAACGGCAACGTCGTGGACCCATTCTTTTTCTTCTCCTTATCCTCCAGTATCGGCGGGCACCCTGGAGTTCTCGCTGCTCTTGCTCAACGGCGGCAAGGCACTCAAGTGCATCATCCATCGCGCAAAGGTGATTGAATTTCACAGTCCTTCGTTTCATGGGCGTATTCAGGTGTGCACTCTCGTCACATGAACTTCTTGAAAACGAAAACCCTTCTCGGTAGCCTAGATGATTGCTTCCCATTTAAGGTAAGCTCCTATTTATATGGTCATGTATCACAATGCTGGACACTATCTGAAAAAAAAAACACTGATGCTTCCACGTAAGTACACCTATATGAATGTATCGACTAGTGCGAGACACTCGGGTATTTTACGTTCTAAAAAAGAACAAAAAAGAGAGTATGTGTCACTCTTTCAGTTAGCCCTGACATATCACTCATGACTCTTTTTATGGAGACATCTTGACTCTCTTTTTGGTGTCTCACGACTCTCCGACGAGAATGATCTCCGATAGTGCCAGTGTGTCTCTTTAAAGAGAGTCATGGTATTGGCAAGTCAGGCTCACACAGAGTCAAGGAACTTATTTCATTTCTCGGAGTATACTATAGGATCAATTATTACCACTTCGATAACTTTAGTTCCATGATAGTGCGCAATGTTTATTTGTCGGTGATGCCGTGCACAGCACTGCTTCAGTTGAGAGCAGTATGTGGCCATCAGGCTCACTTCTAGGTTCACAACTACATGAACGTTTGCAAATTCAATAAAGACCAATGCGGCAAAAAAAGTGTAGCCACAAAGAAATGTGTTACTGAATATTGAAAGGTAAGTAGTTGTACCACAAAGAAAGCTTTAGCACTCTTAAAAGGGTACTGCAACACTTTTACATGTAGCCATGGAATGGATTCACTAAAGGTGCCTATTGCCTCACAAATTCATCACTGCAATAATTTTTTTTAGAATCCGTCCAGTATGAGCGGAGTTACAAAGACTTTTCGCACGGTGCAGTTGCATTCTCTCCTCGACTACAGCACCGGGAACTTAATGGTGTATTCGGTTGGACGCTCCGGTCCTCTAGGTCGGAGTCGCCAGATGCCGAAGCAGCTCGCAATCAGAGCGCGAGAGGCAGCGTACCAACCGAACACATCGGTGATCTCAGAGCAGCTAAGAGCAGCGCGCCTGTAGCATAGAGTTTCCTAAAATTAACTAAACTGGATTCTGTCGCTGCGATATTTCAGCGACTATGGAAAGAATGGGTAGTACACATATTTGCCTAGTCTTCGTACTTGCGGGCAACGAATCGTACTTGCGGCTTTGTTTAGTGCCGTGTTTTGGTTTTGTTTTGAAGGAGGATTCAACCCTTTTGAACTTCGTGACCCGATTCAGAAATGATAGTATAAAAGAATAAGGTGGTGAAACTCAACTTCTGAACATTTGCTGATTTTTGTTTTGCGAAAAAGCAGCTCCAAGCCACACGAACACACACGGAGCCAAAAGCAGACCAAAAGTACAAAGTTTAGACAAATGTGTGTACTACCCATCATTCCCATGCTCGCTGAAGCGCCGTGCGTTGTAGCTCCCATTGACACTAGCGCGGGTGGAATGGCACGAGGAAAGAAAATACGTCACGCGCGCCACGTGACCTTGAGCACTTTTTTTGTTTTCTTCGACTACGTGGCTTTTCAGTATTATCGAGCGTGCACGCGTGAAGAAGTCGCGGACTCCCATGGCGGTTTCTGTAACGACCGAGCTCGCCGTGCTTAAATCAGCCAATGGCTGATACAACGGCTGTGATGAGTTCCGTCATTTGTCTAGAGAAGAGAAAGCAGTCTTTGACTGACTTTATGCAAGAACTTGGGGTGCAAAAAAAAGCCGAAATAAAACAGAACTTCAGGGGAAAGGAGAAGCTTTTACTGAGCAGCAGTCGTCTCACAAGGAAATAAATGGCATAAAATAGATAAAGTTCACTTTCATTCAACCAGGAGTGCTGGTGAAGCCTACGTTTCGACAATATGACTTGTCTTATTCCAGATGAAGACAAGTCGAGGGCCCGAAGAAAACAAGTCCACCTTTCGAAACACCAAATTTTCCTTATTCCCCGACTGTTCATCATTGCAATACCAGCGTCACTCAAGACACCTTCGATTGCGGTTGAGCCTGGATGCTATTGAACTTCATCACAATTGTGCAAACTCGGCAAGGAACCATTGCGTGGTTTTTCCCGATAGTGATCGACTGCGTTAATATAGTTCCCAATGAGCTTAACTCCAAAGCCACAGGGTTCCTTAAGCATTCGCTTGAGACGATTTCGAAGGCGAAAGCCTTTCGGTATGGCTATATCTGGTCGTCAGCGTAGTCATTATGATCAAAATTTGATGGTGTTAATAATTTAATAATAATAACCATCCAATCGCCATCATTATATAATGATCCTAATGATGATCGTATTTTTGCACCATTCGTGTTGACGATGTTACTATGACTACTCCGATAACAAAAAAATCGTTTGCCAATACTCCAGAATACATATTTGTATGGACCTAATGGGAAGAAAACTGTTATCATCATAATCTGTTGCCATTTTACTGGGCGTAAAAGGCTTGCGGTTTAAAATACTTTGGAGTGACGCAATACGCCGACACTCAAAGCCACAATCTTCTATGGATACGTGTCATCTAATATATATATACTATAAACTGTCCTGGATACGGGTGCAACCGAGACTGTACCCTGAATAGAGATGTTTGCTGAATACAGATGCTTGCTTCCACGTTTTCTCATTTCCCAACACGTAGGTACTTGCCCCAAAGTTGGCAGTACAGGTTTCAAGCGAGAAGTAAACTTGTTTCGCCCTTCGAATGAGTGAGGCCCAATGTGAGGCCTGTCTGCACGAGATTCGTATTGGACGACAGGTAATCGGCTCGCTTCAGAGTGCGACCGACGCTATCTTAGTGAAATGCGCTAAGCCCATATAGACTGCACTCCAAGTGACCTCGCTTCCTTTACATACGAATGGTACGGGAGCCAACAAAGTATTCCGCTCGTTTCATAAGCGTCCCTGTGGGTGTCACCTGGTGCAACGGCTTGCGAATTTAGAAGGCCTTCACAAATTCGTTTTCTACAAAACCCCGTACACGGAAACAGATTGAGGAGGTGCTTACATAAAAGCTTCTTTATAACCCGAACAAGATATGCGATGCTTTGTATTCAGCGTCGTTTTTTTTTTGCTAGGTCTTTCCCTCGAACATATTCAAATGGGACATGACAAGTAGGAAGGATTTATTGAAAAATATGACGTATTTGTGCATTGTGCTGGGTTTTCTGGTATGTATGGTTCACGAACGAGGAATAAATCTAATTTTGACACGCAGATGGATTTCTGTTGGCCATGATTATATTGAAATCCGACTGCCGAGGTTAAGCCGTACACGAATTCTTAAATATCCCAAATGGCAACAAAATTACGGCAGAAAAAAACTGCGTCCCAACTGCTGCTCCGACATTTTGAATGAGCGTTTTATCGATTAGCTTTGTAAAGCTGGGCTTTAAGCCATGCGTCCATGCGTTCTCCGTCCATGCGTCCATCTGTCCGTGCAGACATCCGTGGATCCGTCCATGCATCTGTCTGTGTGTCCGTTCGTCCATCCAGTCAACACTCCAAGTACCACCATCTCGCATCTTTTCATCTTGTATTCCGCATATAGAAGCACCGCTATCCAGCGGACATTCCAAGGACTAAAAGAGAGGTAGCACTCGCACACTTTCTTACTGCTTGCGCTTCGTGCTTACTTCCCACCTTTAACCACCTCGAGTTCATGGTATATACTAGTTCACCGTATTCACGGCACTGCTGCCCAACGCTCGCTAAACCTTTCTAAAACCAAGGAGGTTACGCCCAGCGAGTATAACGTAGCAACCCTTTCTTGTCAGATAGTGCTGAATGTACGTACATGCCAATGGCTGCCAATTGGAAATGAGAGACAGGAGAATTCGGCTTTTAGTTAACGCGCACGCTGCAATTTTTTTATTGTTCAACAACGCACAAGAGCAATCTCCCACCGGCACCACTTTGCAGGTTAAAGCGTAAGACATCTTACGCACTACTACGAGGGGCGAATGGGTGCCGCTTTAAGGAGCTTCGCCCCTAATAGCTGCTTCTGGGAGGAATACACATGGCTCAGCAGCGTTACCTAAATTGAAACTGTCGTGTCGACACCAACGGCAGGAAGCTGTCTCCAACGTCCATTACGTTATGACGCTCAAAACAAGAAGTTTATTTTCTGACCCACCCTTCTTCCCCGAGTCACCACCACCACAGCGCCATATTTGTGTAAAAGCGACCCATTCTGTTATGAATTTGCTCTGTCGCGATTGTAGTGGTGGCGAAGAGCGGCGAGCCGTCGAGCGGACTTTGATGAAGCCTTAGCCCGAAGGTGAAACAGGGAGGCAATCCGTTTGGAAAACAGCAACAAAAGGAGCGTTCACTGTCGCAGGTTGTCGTTTGTACAGGGCCGGCCAGCACGACAACGTCGGCTGGGGCAAAATCTTCTAACATGGGGCCGGCTCGGCCTTGAATAGCGTCTTTGGTCCATTCTCTCAGACCAGTTCTCGGGCTCGGAGGGGGAGACGTAGCCATACCCGGAACTGCAAAGTGGTTCGGCGGAGGAAGCGACGTTATCCCCGGAACTGCACGGTTCTTCTGCGCGGAAGGCGGCGCTGGGAGGGGGGAGACAGTTCGTCGAAACAGGGCTCGATCTTGTGAGACGTGCTCCCGAACGAGAAACATGTCTGTGGCACAACAATACCCAGCGAGAGAGCAACCGTCCTCGCTGTTCCCTGAACATGCCTACCTCGACGTGCTCGTGTAACAGCCTTTGATCTTCGAAAGTGTTATGTCTTAAAGCAAGGACAGACTAAGGGGTTTCCAAAACAACTGCGTATTAGAGCACCTAAGTGAATCAGCCAGCAGCTTTTTTAGCTCTTTCCGTCGAACGGGGCGTGTCCGGAGAGCGATCCGCGCAGGGACCCAAAGCACGAGAGTGTGTTGCCAAGTTGCCAATGGCGGAAGGCCTCAGTGCGAACAGTGTATAGTGAAGTCTGTCTCGCGGTTGTGGTTGGAGGCTTGCAGCTCGCGGTAGCTACAATGGAGGAGAATGAGATGTGTGGCAGAAAGGAAAACAGCGGCTATTATGGTAGGGAAAGAAAGGTGTAATGTGAAAAAAAAAGACCGAATTTCAAAAGGGTGAACGCCCGTGTGGAAGGAGATTCCGCGCAGGTCAGGAATCTTCTACATTTTCAGTAGACTTTGTTTCAGTAGGTGAAAGCTATTCAGTTGACAAAATAAGTTGAATGATAAGTTCAAACAACAAAGCGAAACAGCGCACACATGCCAATATAACATACGCATGAGACCCGGGCATAATACGGCCTTGAATAAGACCCGAACCCGACTTTTGTATATTTCATCAGTCTTGAATCATGCTAAGTTGACACCTTCGAGGTACCAGTAATCTCGGAGTCATTATTTTTACTTTTACTATTTCATGAAAGATACAGTACTCTACGGTATACATTACTAATATCAGCGATGAATTTGTAATGCAGAAACTCAGCGCAAAAGACTAAAATTTAAAATCTACTGATTTATACTAATATTCCGAGAAAAAAAACTGCTACAATATTTTCATCTGTCGCAGCAACACTGTACTTTGTATGTCCTGTAGTAAGGACATACAAAGAAAAAGCGCCTCTTCCACTTCAAAGTAGGATGCACTCAAGCCTGCACCAATGAGAGCACGCTCTAGAGCGACCTCGTGAGCCACATGGTAGGTGACTCCACCTTCGGAGAACATTGTCGAGCTGGGATATTTTTTTTTTGTCGCGGAGAAAATCGGCTGTCCAGTTTCGGTTGTATGGACGGAGCTCCTTCGGGCATCTTAAGTTGTTGTATCCGATTGTACTTTACTTCATCACAGAGATTGTTCTGTTATGTTGACCCTGTAGAATCGTACCAAGAAAAAAAAAACATGCCATTGCAGGAGCTCTACGGCACAGACTACAGCGGCTTTTCCGACCCCTTCGTTAGGGTACAACTACTCCCCAGCTTCAAAAAGGTGAGAATGGATTTCCTACTTATTGCTGTTTTTAGGATACCACCAGAAATTTTACATACATGGGAAATCATCGCCCAAAAATTCTGTATACCTATAGTAATAATATTATCTGTTGCTTCGCGTCCCAAAAGTACCATATAATCATGAGAGACGCCGTAGTGGATGGCTACGGAAATTTTGACCATCTGGTGTTCTTCAACCAGCGAAGTTGAAACGTGTAGCCCCGTGGTGTCTTCAGCGGCCCCTCAAAAAAGCGCATGGTTGGCGACACGCACGTTTAGAATCAACTATTCGCGAAGCCAGAATTTTCCTTATGTTAGCGATTCTCCATGTCTTCTTTATATCCTGTACTGCAGAATGCCGTTATTCCGCAGTTAGTATAAACCACATGTAACAAGGGGCAGCAGCCGGGACCGGCGCACCTCCGCAGTGGCCAATGGCGAGACGGCAACCGCTGTTGTTTTAAGTGCGCAGCACTTGTTGTTCGTCCATGCATCTGATGGCGGAATCAGGCTCACAGTGAAACGCTCAATACAGGTTATAACAAGGGTAGCAATGCTCAAAACTTGGCTAAAATGAACGAACGAGGTCTAATAACATATTTAAAAAAAATTAACCATGTATTAATCGTAATAATGAACTTAAAATAGCAAAAGACGTTTCGGAAAGTTACGATTGATCTCCACGCTGCACGAAAGAGGGCGCCATCATTACACTGAGCGAGCGAATGCCCTTCACTTTCGCTTTGCCGGCGCTGCATGCCTGCGTCATTACTTATGTAGGTGAAACAGCCTGACAGAAATCACTGCAGACGACGCGAAACTAAAGTGCCGTAACAAGTGAAAAGTCTGTAAGCGTCGGTCTGTCTGTCACACGATTCAGCCGCCCGGCCAATGTTTAAGCACTTGCTGAACACCTAGCCATCTTGGAATGGTGGCTGCGTTTACACTTGTGAACATTGTCGATCAAAAAGGAAATAATTTCCATATGTAAAACGCAACACAAATACGTAGGCATTAGGTGGTGTGTTCCTTTACTAGAAAATACATCAATACGCAATTCTAAACACCCTAGTGTTTCTAAAGCTGCGCTGTAAATTGGACACTATGCGCGAAAAAGACCTCTGCCGACGATGCGGTACTGCCTATTTCGGCAGGCGTCTACTTTGGCGCACCAGTAGTGCACGCACACATTCATTGACCCTTCCACGCAATCAAGTACAGTCATGTCTCACAAATGGTTATTCTTTGCAAACTATCATGGTAGACAGTACCACACGCGACCAAAACATCGCTAAGATGTCGTGGAGGTACGAACACATGGCATGCCAGCAGTACGTGATAAAGCGGTAAATTGAAATCTGTTGAAACCCCCATTGAATTTATCATGGCAGGACGCAAATAGAGCAAAGACAGCAAGCACCACGAGTTGAAGCGGACGAAACTAGGAATCATGCAGTAAGGCCGGTAGAAGAGTGACGTCTTTTGACGACATTTGCAGCGAAGCGCGCAGATACGTGGTCAAGGTTTCTTTATTTTTTGCTGCTGATGTAAGCACCGCGTACGTTAATAAAAAGTAATGTTTTGCTGAGCAGTGTATCCAGAATATTTGCTGAATTTGGCCTGGAAGGCAACGTTCTTGACCTAAAGCTCGTGACACGAACATGTACTGTACGGGAAAGTTACCATCATCAAATACGCATATGCCAGAGGTGCTTGACGCTGTTCACACGCAATTGCCACTTGTAAATTCTGTTTAGATGGGACATCAATGGCTGTGGCAGGAGCTTGTAACTAGTATTAAGTTGCAACTGACTGTAGCCTATGACAGCTCCGCTGTACAAAAGCGTCGTTCTTGAGCAACGATTGGTGAAGTCCTAAATATGATGCTCCGCTATACTGCGAAACCTGGGAAGCGTGTACCAGCAAGAGCGCCCAGCGATTTCCGTTCGTAGCAGTTCCCACTGCTCCATTTACCAAATTGTCGATGACGTGAATGTTCGAGTCAAGCACTGTAGGGTTTCTTAGACACGAGTACTATCTTATTAAGAAAATTTGCAAAGTCGGTGTGTGACATGTGCGCCACTTCTTGCTTTGTTTTATTGACTTACTGTTTGTCCAGGTAGTTGAGACAGCGAGTGTCAGGTTGTTTCGTGCTTGAAAAGTAGCGATGAAGGTGCCAGAGAAGTGCCGGTGGGAGGAGCCATCTTGCGCTTGGCACGGCGGTGGTGCCCTCTTTTGTGTGGCGCGGGTGTCAGTTGCCGTGTTTCAGCAGCGTTTTCGGTGATATTAAGTTAACATTTAGAATTATTTCTCGATAATATATGCTAATTCAAATAACTTAGATTTTGCTCGTTATTTTAATCCAGTTTTGAACATGGAAAGCCATCGTTTAGGACTATCTTGACAACTTGATTTTGAGCGTGATCACGTGATATGAGATCAACAGGTGCACGACCATTCGGGCGCCTTATGCAGTACGCCGTTAAAAATGCGGGGCCTTTTTCGTGTTTTTACTTTTTCATTTCGCAGGGTGATACGAAGCAGACAAAGACTCTGCACAAGACCGTGAACCCCGAGTTCAACGAGACTCTCGTATTCCACGCAGACAGCGCCATCGACGAACGAAAGCTCAAGTAGGTCCATGCGCTGCCCTGCATTGTCTTTCGAGTTGGATGCCAGGCGCACTGCAATCTAGAAATATAACGTCGGTTTCCCGAGATTTCGTCAAAGTAGATCCTCGAGAAACGAAGAGATCTTCAGACGCATGCGCACAAGGGTTGGTAAAAGCGAGAAGGCTTTCTCACTGGTTTGCGCGGGTTGATAGAGTCACGCGAAAGTAATATGGCCTATGGAAATGTTAATATTGCCGAAAGTGATAGCATCGCAGCAAGTCAAATATTGCAAGTATAGCCGAAAATGATCGTCTCTGAATGTGGCCCCGGGTGCCCTAAACCAAAGTTATTAGAATAAACTAGTAACGTTGCCTTAAACCTTTCCGCGATTACGTAAGGCTCTTGACGCCACCAGGCAGAAAAAAATGTTGCGCGCTCAAGGTCATGGCTACTAGTGGCGTTAACACTGCCAAGTTAGCATGCACATATATATCCCGTGAAGCCGGCGGGGTGGTGAACGCTGTTGTTGCTCAGTCGATCTTGTACAGCACCTCATCCCCATGCATCCTACTCATCCTACTCATCATCCCCATGCATCCCTACTTTTTCCCCTTTCATTATACGCTGTGTAGATTAGTTCACTATAGCTCAGGCCGACTTTTCTGCCTTCTAATAAATTCTATCTCTCTCAGTCGGCATATAGAGCATTGGACGAGTTCGTAGAAGGTCGCAAGCTATGTCCCTACCAGTGACAAGTTATCTTTTCGTACACTTTATTGACATATACATCATGGTACAAATAAGGGCTACACTTTCTTTGGATTTCTTGTCTGTTAGTTCTAAATATTGCTGCGTTTAAAAACAAGAAGGACGAGCCCTTAAAATAACTCTTATGAAGCCACTTATTGGTGCCCTGCCACTTCTAACCTTAGTAAATCAATAGACTCTTGCAAACTCTTGTTTTCGAGGTGTAGGAAGTGTGTTATCCGCCCTCGAACGCCTCCGCTCTAGGTGTGTGCAAATGACGACAGGAAGAGCTGTTTGCTTGCATGGCAGCGGCAAGTGTGAACGTGACAGTAGTCTGCCACTGCAGGCTCACCGTGCTGGACGACTACCGGTTCGGGAGCTGTGCCCTTGGCTCGACCACGGTGCCGCTCTCCCTGCTCACGCCTAACCAGATGTGCTGGCTCAATGCAGCCCTCGACAGGAGCCGACAGGTGAGGCTCGCAGAGTGCCGCCGCTGCTCAGGGAACGTTTCGATCGGGGTGGGTGATCTGCACGAATGCCCGCCCAGTACCACTCAGATATACTGGGCTCGTATCGATAAAAAACGCTTTACGATAAAAATGGTTGTAAGCGAATGTTTCAGTCAAACACAATCCGCGCGACATTTCACTAGCGAAGCCAGTACCCTAATGAATAAACGCGCTTACGAAGGAGAATTGTTCTGAATGAAGCCTCTAAACCGCAGTATTACCCCACTGAACCCCTCTGAACCGCAATATTACACGATGCCCAAATCTTCGCGGCTGCCGGGCCACCTTGACATGCCGGTGAGCAATGTCTGGTCCATTTAGGCACTGGAATTTCTTCATTACGATGCCACGGCTGGAACCATCCCAACGTTTTGTATTTGCCCGAAGGCTACGTTAACCTTCATTGAGCCGAATCGAATTTAGCGACTATACAGCATAGCGGGATCAGTCCTTTGCGCCAGCAATGGATGTTGCAACGCTGTCACAGCCGCCAAGAACTGCCAGCGCATATTGTCACGGGGTCGTGACGTGGCCGAAGACAGGAGACTTCGTGTTGGGATTTAACTGTTAATTTGGGCGAACCTGTGCCCAGTAAACGGAAAGTCCGATTACAGCAGCAGTCTTGCACAGATAGCAGTCTCGGACTGATAGCGGTGAATGGAGCGTCGGCCTTCGTTCAACAACTGACAAGCGGCGAAGCGCGTCGGCATTTATACCCTTGCCGTCGAATGTTCTAGCGTTATCGCTGGCGGTGGCGTAGGTTCCAGAACAATCTGTACCGTTCGCACAGTGGGCGTGATCTTATAGAAATGATCTACTACAGTCCGGAACCTCCTCGAAATCTGCAGGCGCGGTTTGCGCTGGGAGTCGTGTGGTGTTTTGGGACGATAACAAAAACTTGAAAAATGGAACGTGGCATTGCCCCCCTTTGAAAAAAGGCATCGTCCCGATGCTTTAACCAAAATTTAAGGCACAATAATAATGCAAGAAAGTACAATGAATAAATTACAATACAACAATAATACAAAAAAACACTGTTTCAGTTTGTTAACGCGCATGAAACGGCTTGAAGCGCGCGACATGGACGGCTTCAGGTCGCGATCGGCGTCGTTGAGAGTTCGTGATGCCATCGGGGAAAACCTCGTAAACAAGTGGGCCGAGACGTCGAACCACCCTGTACGGTACGAAGTACCGTCGCAGAAGCTTTTCACTTAGTCCACGTCGGCGTATCGGCGTCCACACCCAAACACGTTCACCGTGCTGGTATTCCACGAAGCGTCGTCGAAGGTTGTAACGGTGGCTGTCGGTCGTCTGTTGATTCTTGATACGGAGACGCGCAAGTTGTCGGGCTTCTTCGGCGCGTTGAAGGTACTCGCTCACATCAAGGTTTTCTTCGTCGGTGACGTTGGGTAACATGACATCGAGCGTCGTTGCCGGGCTCCTTCCGTAGACCAATTTGTATGGGGATATCTGCGTCGTCTCCTGCACCGCCGTGTTGTATGCGAAGGTCACATACGGAAGAATGGCGTCCCACGTCTTGTGTTCGACATCGACGTACATTGACAGCATGTCGGCGATCGTCTTAAGCCGCTTGGTGAGGCCGTTGGTCTGTGGGTGGTACGCTGTCGTCCGGCGGTGGTTTGTTTGACTGTATGCCAAGATCGCTTGAGTTAAGTCGGCAGTGAATGCCGTTCCTCTGTCGGTGATAAGGAACTCCGGGAAGCCGTGACGTAAGACGATATTTTCGACGAAGAACTTAGCTACCTCGGATGCACTGCCTTTTGGCAGGGCTTTTGTCTCGGCGTAGCGGGTGAGGTAGTCGATAGCTACCACGATCCACTTGTTTCCGAAAGCCGACGTCGGGATTGGCCCCAGTAGGTCCATACCAATCTGCTGGAAAGGTCGGCAAGGTGGATCAATTGGCTGCAGAAGTCCCGCTGGCTTTGTCGGCGGTGTCTTGCGTCGCTGACAGTCCCGGCATGTCCTCACATAACGAGTGACGTCGGTGGTAAGACGTGGCCAGTAGTACCTTTCTTGTATCCTCGCGAGCGTGCGAGAAACACAGAGGTGCCCTGCAGTCGGATCGTCGTGCAGGGCCTGCAGGAGTTCTGGTCGCAGAGCTGAAGGCACCACAAGGAGGTACTTAGCTCGAAGCGGTGAAAAGTTTTTCTTTTGTAGAAGACCGTTTCGTAGAAAGAACGACGCAAGTGCGCGCTTGAATACCTTCGGGACTTCGGCGGTCCCGCCTTCGAGGTATTCTATTAGGGCCTTAAGTTCCATGTCGGCCCGCTGTCGTTCAGCGAAGTCGTCGGTAGTTATCGTTCCCAAGAAGTAGTCGTCATCCGGGTCGTCGGGTAGCGGTTGGTCGACAGGTGCACGAGAGAGACAGTCAGCGTCAGAGTGTGTTTTGCCGGACTTGTAAATGACAGTAATGTCATATTCTTGAAGTCTCAGGCTCCATCGTGCGAGGCGACCTGAAGGGTCCTTCAAGGTGGCTAGCCAACACAAGGCGTGGTGGTCGCTCACAACTTTGAAGGGCCTGCCGTATAGGTAGGGGCGTAATTTCGACGTAGCCCAGATGATGGCGAGGCACTCCTTTTCTGTTGTGGAATAATTTGCTTCTGCTTTGGATAGCGATCGGCTGGCGTCACTAATAACCCTTTCAAGCCCGTCAGCCCTCTGCACAAGAACGGCGCCAAGACCTACGCTGCTTGCGTCAGTATGTATTTCTGTCTCGGCGAGTTCGTCGAAATGGGCAAGTAACGGAGGCGTCTGGAGCCGATGTTTAAGCTCCTGGAAAGCGTGTTCCTGTGGCGTTTCCCACTTGAACTCCACGTCGGCCTTGGTAAGGTTAGTGAGAGGATCGGCGATGCGGGCGAAGTTTTTCACGAACCGCCTATAATAGGCGCACAGGCCCAGAAATCGGCGCACGGCCTTCTTGTCAGTGGGCGGCGGGAAGTCGGCGATGGCAGCTGTTTTCTGTGGATCGGGACGAACTGCTGACTTGCTGATAACGTGCCCAGAAACGTGCCAGAAACAAGAGCTCCTCATACGCAAATCTGCACTTTTCTGGCTTCAGTGTGAGTCCGGACGTCTTGATGGCTTGAAGTAAAGCTTCAAGGCGCCGAAGATGCTCGTCGAAACTCGAGGAAAATACGACGACGTCGTCCAAGTACACAAGGCAAGTCTGCCACTTCAATCCTGCCAGTACTGTATCCATAACGCGTTGAAAAGTTGCAGGCGCTGAGCAAAGGCCGAAGGGCATCACCTTAAACTCGAAGAGGCTGTCCGGTGTTATAAACGCCGTCTTCTCTCGGTCTCTTTCGTCGACTTCGATTTGCCAATAGCCAGTCTTGAGGTCCATTGACGAAAAGTACTTGGCGTTATGGAGCCGATCAAGTGCGCCGTCTATTCGTGGGAGAGGATACACGTTCTTTCTTGTGATTTTGTTCAGGCGGCGATAATCGACGCAGAAACGTAGGGTCCCATCCTTTTTCTTCACTAACACCACGGGGGATGCCCATGGACTCTTGGACGGCTGGATAATGTCATCCCGCACCATTTCATCAACTTGTCTCTTCATGGCCTCACGTTCTCGCGTCGAAACCCTGTACGGACTCTGACTGAGTGGTCTGGCATTTTCTTCGGTTATGATGCGATGTTTCGTGATTGGGGTCTGCCGAATTTTCGATGACGACGAAAAACAATCTTCGTATTGCAGGAGCAGGGCCTCGAGCTGTTCTTGCTTATCGTTCGGAAGTCTGGGGTTGACGTCGAAAGCTATCGGAGGGGCATGGTTCCTCTGAGCAGGTTCCGCAGAATCAGCGAGGGCGAAAGCACTGGTGGCTTCGACAATTTCTTCGATGTATGCGACCGTTGTTCCTTTGTTCACATGTTTGTACTCATTGCTGAAATTCGTGAGCATAACCGTTGCTTTGCCTCCCCGCAGCTCTGCAATTCCTCTTGCGACGCAAATATTTCGGGTGACCAACAGATGCTGACTGCCTTCAACGACGCCTTCCAAGTCAGATGATTTAGGAGCGCCGACTGAAATAATGACGCTTGAGCGAGGCGGAATGGTGACTTGTTCTTCCAGCACATTCAAGGCATGGTGTCCTGACAGCGTGCGCGGCGGTAGTGCTTCTTCTCTGGATAACGTTATCGACTTTGTTTTTAGGTTGATGACAGCACCATGGAGGCATAAGAAGTCCATGCCAAGGATGACATCTCTCGAGCAACGCTGTAGGACTACGAAGACTGTAGGATTAAATACGGCCGTTAATGGTGACTCTCGCTGTGCAGATTCCTGCAGGCGTTACGAGATGACCTCCGGCTGTGTGGATTTCAGGGCCTTTCCAAGCTGTCCTAACTTTCTTTAACTTCGCGGCGAACGACCAACTGATGACAGAATAGTCGGCTCCAGTATCGACGAGAGCGGTCACACTGTGGCCGTCGATAAGAACGTCGTAGTCGCTAGTTCGCCGTCTCGCATTACAGTTAGGGCGTGGCGTCGGGTCACGGCTGCGTCTGCTTGTTCCGCTGCTTCCATGTTGCGTCATCCGGCCACCTTCAGTAAGTGAGCTTTTGCCTTCAGGGCTTTGCCTGGTTGGCCTTGTGTTCGGAAAGCTCCGTCGCGGCGTCGTCGTCGTCAGAGGATCTTCGGTAGTTCGTCGCACAGCAACCGTACCTCCACCGGTTGCTGCCCTTAGTTTCCCGGATACGGGCTAGGAGACCGGCCCCGCGTTGGGCCGGAGTACTGCCGGGGGTGCGGTGACGTGCGGCGGCTGGGCGACGGCGAACGGGAAGGACTTCGTGGTGTCCATTGAGTTCCTGTCAGGTAGTCGGCGATGTCACGTGGCCGTTCCCCTTGCTGCGGACGTGGTGCATCGACGGCGAAGCCACGCAGTCCCATCTGTCGGTACTGGCAACGCCGGTATGTGTGCCCGGCCTCGCCGCAGTGGTAGCACAGTGGGCAGTGGTCAGGGGTGCGCCAAACGTCAGTTTTCCTCGGCGCACTGCGCTGGCCCGCTGGCGAACGGTAGGTCGTCGTTGGGGGTGGTGGCGGCGGTGGTGTCTGGCGACGGAAGTGCGACGGGGCGGCGTTTTGGCGGGGACGGGGAGGAGCGTTGTGGCGCACTTCAGCGGCGTAGCTCATAGTTTCTGGATCGGGCAGCGGTGTTTGGGGAATTCGAAGCGATTGCCGAACTTCTTCTCGCACAATGTCGGCGATCGACATTGTGCGAGAAGATAGATGCTCAGAGGTTGCGCCGAAGGCAACAGTTTGCGCAGCTCTTCCCGCACGATCGCTCGGATCGTTTCACGCAGATTGTCGGAGTCACTGGCTTGAGCAGCAGCGCATTCTGGAGTCAGGCGACGATTATACTGTCTGGTGCGCATGTCCAGGGTTTTTTCAATGATGGTCGCCTCGGATACAAATTCTTGGACGGTGTTCGGTGGATTCCTCATTAGTCCCGCGAAGAGCTCCTGATTGACCCCTCGCATGAGGAAACGAACTTTCTTCTCCTCAGGCATGTCTGGGTCAGCTTGACGAAATAGGCGGTTCATCTCCTCTGTAAAAATTCCAACCTTTTCATTTGGTAGCTGAACCCGGGTCTCTAGTAGAGCAGCGGCCCTCTCTTTGCGAGCGACGCTCGCGAACGTGTGCTGAAATGTGCCGCAGAAGACACCCCACGTTCGGAGCGTGGACTCCCGATTCTCTAGCCAGGTCCTTGCGGTGTCTTCCAGGTAGAAGTACACACGACGGAGCTTTTCTTCGTTGTCCCAGTGGTTGAGGGCGGCCACACGGTCGTATGTTTCTAGCCAGGTTTCCGGGTCTTCAAACGATAACCCATGAAACGTTGGTTGTTGCCTTGGTTGATGAATGACGATCGCGGGCTGGGACGCTCCGGTTGTCATAGTCGCTGCAGTAGAGGTCATGGCCTTGGCTTTCCGCGCCTTGTCTTGTAGAAGCCCGTACTCTGGTGGGATACCTTGCTGTCGGCGGCTTGTTCGCTGCTCTTGGTTGGCGTCGGTGTCTTCTCCGTGACGTGGGCTGGGTTCACGGCTCGACGGGGGCGTCCGGTACATGAACGAAGCAGCACCTCCACCAGATGTCACGGGGTCGTGACGTGGCCGAAGACAGGAGACTTCGTGTTGGGATTTAACTGTTTATTTGGGTGAACCTGTGCCCAGTAAACGGAAAGTCCGATTACAGCAGCAGTCTTGCACAGATAGCAGTCTCGGACTGATAGCGGTGAATGGAGCGTCGGCCTTCGTTCAACAACTGACAAGCGGCGAAGCGCGTCGGAATTTATACCCTTGCCGTCGAATGTTCTAGCGTTATCGCTGGCGGTGGCGTAGGTTCCAGAACAATCTGTACCGTTCGCACAGTGGGCGTGATCTTATCGAAATGATCTACTACAGTCCGGAACCTTCTCGAAAACTGCAGGCGCGGTTTGCGCTGAGAATCGTGTGGTGTTTTGGGACGATAACAAAAACTTGGGAAATGGAACGTGGCAATATGGAGCGGTGGATCCGCTCAGTGGACTGCCAATCTCAGAAATGGGCCATCCAGCGGCTCGAGGGGGCCCTGGCCAGGCAGAGGACCCGTAACCCGTGACCCGCAAGCGCGGGGCGCGGGAACCCAAGTATCCTCTGTCGGGTCAGGTTCAAACCTCGAGGTCTTGGCTCAGTGTTTCTAGGACTGCATAGACTAGAACATTAGAACGGTAGACCGCGCCCTGCGAGGCCGGCACCTACCCCACGCAGGATGCTGTGAATTAAGTCTTTTTTCTCTCTCTCTCCCCAATCAATTTCGCTTTTGCTTTGCTTAGCTTTGCTTCCCTAGATACATGGTACGTACCCACTTTGGGGGATTTGCCAAGAAGGCAACGTAGAGACTGTTAAATGTTAATTTAGGTACGCTATGAAATTTAAAACCAAAATTAGGGAAATCAAATGGCAATAATACGTAAAATATTCAATTTAACTACAAGTAATATGCTTTTGAGCGTGTATTCCACACTGCCGAAATAACCTGACAGGAATAATTTTGAAAACTTAAGTTTTCACTTAACGAAATGACGAAGAGTTTTCAGTACTAGATTAAAATAGTACTCGTTGAGTAGTTATAATGAAATTACACACGGCATCAAAGACATCCCTGTGGCAGTATCCAAAACCTGAGGCACCGAAGCTTAGAACGTTTTCCTCCGATAAGGTCAAGCTTATTTTTGCAAAAAGGAGTAATTCGAATTAGCTCAATAATGGTGTTCTACTCTCTCTATTTTCTTCCTTTTTTTCCAAATCATTATTTTCTCAATGCCGTTGCATAGAGTAGAAATTAAAAAAAATTCCCATCATGCATGGTAGCCTTTCAGCCTTTCATCTTGTTCTACCTTTGCTGCCTTAGTAAATGTCTTACTCTGTTTATTCGGTATTTCGCGATCTGTGAAGAGATGGACTGGGCGTACTATAGTAGAGCACAGGGACCTAGGAAAAGTAAGAAATGCGCTTACGTCCTGAAAAAAAAAAAGCGCTAAAATAACAGGACAATGAAAGGACACCGCCGTGGCACGCGTCTTTTTTTCATCCTGTCGTTTTAGCGCTGTTTTTGTATTTGTAATCGTGAAGCAACCAGTTTTATTGCGTACCTTACAGCAAAATGCACTGAGCGATTCCCTTCTCTCACCCTCGAAACGTGTGCAGGGTCATGACGAGTCGTCGTGCCCGCTGAGCGCGGACCGTCCCCGGGTGCTGGTGTCCCTGATGCATGCCAGCGGCCGGAACCAGCTCATTGTGGGCCTCGTCCGATGCGTGCGCCTCATGCGGAGGGACCGGACACCAACGGCACCCTTCGTGCGACTGTGAGGACACAAGCAGCAGGATTGCAATGAGACTTTCGTTAGCTGCTGCATGCTCTGTTATTTAAAACATCAGCTAACGACAGTACAAAAGCAAACTACAGGCATATGAGCCTAGGAGAAGCACATCACCACCGCTTGCATTTGCCTGTGGTAGAGTCACTCATAAATAACTGCATGTAGATTGAAGCGCATGGTCTCCTAAGCCTGGGCTATGTGCTTCAAGGCAAAGGCATGCGAGTGGTTCTTTATTGAGAGAAGGGCGAGGAGGGGGAGCGTCGTGGGCGTAGTGTCACCGCAACGCTGTACTCATCCTCCGAGATCATTACGATGAGATTGCAGTGCAAAGACGTATACCATGAGAGGGAGCGGCCACCCACCCGCACCACTGCATGCACGTCTATGCCTAAAGGCATTTATAGGGCTGGACTCCGCAATTTTTTCTCCTCTCTAGTACATAATCCCATCGTCCGTTAAACCTATTCGTCCTGTCTGATGAGTTCTAAGTAGTGTCTACCTAATTTCCTGGAATGCATCGTCTTTCACCCCTACGCGTATCACTGGTATCGCGCAAGGACACCGCCAAGGCAGATGCACACTCCTCAGATGAAACAAAGCTTAATAGTTATTTAGCCAATAACAGCCGGAACCTCAACATAACAGGTCTCAGGGAAGGTGCACTGATGGCGTAGAAACTCATTTAAGAGGACTATTCAAAGCTACCCGTTACATTGAAAAAAGTCTGGAATGCACTCGTGTTTTCTACGACCACGATAACCAGCGCAATTAATTTTACAGGGCCATCCACATTTAATGTGAACACCTCGTCAGTTCTTAAAACCGTATAAAAGCTGATGCTACATACATAGAAAAAAAACTGATACTGATTTAAGGCATGTTGTTGTTCATCGATATCAAAGCCATATTTAAACAGTGCGAAGAAGACAACACGTTAAAAGCACGGAACACCCACAGGAAGTGTTTCTAACGTGCTGGCTTCCTCGAGCAGTGTGTTTTCGAAATAAGAAAAAATGATTGTGTTTATTGGTACTATGCTTTTACGTGATTTAACGAACATTACACTTGCGAAATATTTTTAATAATAATATTATTTTGGGTTTGACGAGCCACAACCATGATATGACTATGAGGCTGGCCGAAGTGCGGGGCCCCAGAAGTATACCGATTCACCTGGCGGTCATTAACGTACTTTGACATCACACAGTACTATTTCACCCCTGTTCAATTGCGACAGCTGCGACCGGAATCGAACCTGTGCCTTTAAAATCAGCATCCGAGCCCAGTAACCGCTACACCCCAGCGGTGGTCGTGAAGCAGACTTAGCGTTATAACTTTACCGGCTTGATTGCGAATGAGGCGTTCATCTTGGATGTGGTCGACCCTGTATACATGAGGACACATTGAGAGGGAGAGAAGACGTAACAGATGATGCCTTATCCTGCGTGTACGGCTATGTAGGCGGTCGCAATATATATATATATATATATATATATATATATATATATATATATATATATATATATGGCGCTGCCCACTTCGTCGCACAGCGCCACCTGTGCGGGTCCTTCTGTAAGGCATAAGATGGCAATCCAACGCGTGCGAAATAACACAATTGAAGCATGCTCTTCCGTTAACTCCAGTAGAAATCAAGCTCTCTTGTATAACAGTTATACTTCATTCTTGGTTTATTATTGTTGGAAGGTGCGCTATAATATGACCTCGATTGAAGCTGTCAATATTTCTTCTGCGCCACAGAAACCTGAAACCTGACGCCGGTCATCCGGGCTGGAAAACAACCGCAAAAAAGAAGACTGCCGATCCAGAGTACAACGAGGTGAGGATTATAACTTGCCGACCTTGAATAAAGACTCCTGTTCCCATCCAGCTCGGCAATAGCAAAGTCAACGCCTTATGGGGGTAATAACGTGATGACAGTGAGTTTTAGCACACCCACTACGTGGAAGGTTCTGCACCTTTACAGCTCGGGACGAAGTGATCATAGCTGTTAGGTCACGTATGACGTCAGTGGTAGAAACGTGGTTATTACGTTATGCTTCTCCTCCAGTCCCGTGACTCAGAGCTGACGTAGTGCAAATAGACTCTCCTGCCCAAAATAAACGTGGTACGTCAGTGTTGCGACGCCATTTAATAAGCAGAACGCTTTTCATAACCTCCACCTTTTGCATGAAGGGCTGTTAGATCATGGACTTTTGGGGGGCCAAGTTGGTACATACTAATGAGAATTATTTAACGCAAAAAAAGCATACAAAATTCACAAAAGGGAAGCGTTTGTCTCTTGTGTGTCTTTCTTGCATGGTGCGTCTTTATGGATTTACGTAATTATCGTTCAAAACATGAGCCTAAGTCGGTTTCGGACAATAAACCTCATAGATTAACCCAAGCCCGTAGACAAACTATTCTGGGGGAGGGCGGAGGGTCACTTGGTGAAGGCCATGGCTATTGGTCTTGTATATGGTAAAGCATAGGCTGCAGTACTGTGGCACTGCAGTACTGTGCTAGCACTCGCCTACAAAATTTTGACAAGAATGGGTGAGGTAAGGTTCCACCTTACCCTACCTCTATCAAAGTTCGTATAGGGCAGCGAGACAAGGGGGTTGTAGACCTTTCTCCCGGATAGAGGCTTGGATTGACCAATCAGATTTCAAGTAATCCAAGTAATCGCGAAATATTTTTCTCATTCACTAAACGTGCAATCGACGCTATAGGAAAAATGAGCTCCCCAGACAACTCCAGCCTTGTCATTGCGACCTGTCACTCATCTTAACTTACCGAGAAAGTTGACGGATTAAATGCGGTTAATACTGGTTATGATAATAGACGGTGTCTAAGAAGTGTTGCAGCCCGTCGGGATGGAATAGCGGTTTTTGTGCTTCCCCACTGACTACACCGTGGTCAAGGGTACGGTTACCTGTGTCGACGGCCACTCTCCGATGGTTGTGAAAAGCAACACATCACCCACGCAAATACCCTGCCTCGAGTGTACCGTAATGAACCCCAGGAGGTCAAGATTGTTTCAGATCTTTTCACTGCTGAGCACGTCATATTTCTGTGTGGAAGTTCAGGATCTCAGGTAAATTATTTCATTTACAAAAATATGCCACTTCTTTAACCTTTCACCTTACGAGAAATTAGGTGAGCACACGAGATTAAAGTTCGTAAGTATACCTTGGCAGCATAAAACACAGGACCGTGTTGATTGGTGGAGCATGGGAGAGGCCTTTGCCCTGCAGTGATGATGACGCTATGATGTCATAATATGATGATCATAATAATAATGACTATGCAAAAATACCAGTGAATATGCAAAAAGTTGGGACATCACTGTACAAAAAATAAACAGATGAAGCTGTGTCAAACACGCCCTGGATGACGTTTTTGCTAGACAGCACATTCCTTTGCCAAACACAAACTTGAAACAATGGTCAGGTTAGCATAATTGTAGCCCCGTAGCAACAACAACCACATGAATCTCTTGAATCGAAGGTGACAAGAACACTTTAAGACGAACACGAGTCTACGTTTCAACGCTTCTAGGCCTCTTAATATAAGGGACTGCATCCAGAGTCATCTCTTATTTATTCGTTTTGAGGAAGCTCGGCGATCGTCGCTTCACTCAAAGTGTTTCGCAACGCGCAGGAGCTCGCCCTGAACCTGCAGTCTAACGGAGATCTCGCCAAGCACTTTCTGCAAGTCACCGCCTGGGACAAAGACAGCGGGAAACCGGACGAATATCTAGGTGAGGTCTCACAGTTTGATATATACGCCTTGAATACTGAGTGCGCTGATGGGTTGGTGTATTCTGGTTTATGTGGCAATGCCAACTTATATTTTGCTGCACCCTAGGAAGATTTCTGCAAACCTGTCACCTCTACGGCGTATTGTTAAAGATAATTATGATTAAACTCAATAAAGCACAAAAAGAAATTGTTAGGCAGGTAACTCAAGACACTAGACCTTTCTAACACAAAAAAGTTTTATGCCAGGGTCCACCATGGCTCCGCTGACGTATTTCAGTCACAAATATGACGTTGTAAAATGCAAATGAATAGATTAAAATATAATGAAAAGTTCTGTCACGGGACATAAAACCTCGACCTCTCGCTCCGCAGCTCGCGGCTCGAAACCAATCGGCCGCAGAGCATACGCACTTCAGCTAAAAGCAAGGAATTTCTGTGCGCTACGTACCGTTCGCGGTTCACACATTTCGGCGATCTCAGCGCGTTTTCGTCATCACTAGCCAGATGGCGCGAAGACGGTGCGGCGGACACGCTCTGAAGGTCAATGCCCCTCTCGGTGCGATGCGCGCGCGCCTCCGCGGGGCGTGGTCACTCGTGCGCACGCTGCACGATCTCGTGATTGGGGTGCTTCGTACGTCTTGTGCATCCACCGCAAGCTTCCTGATTGATTGATTGATTTATGGGGTTTAACGTCCCAAAACCACGCTACACCGCAAGCTTCCTTTGATGTAACAATGGTCAAAGTGTGCACGAAGGCTCGCTGCAGTGGCCATTTGGGAAAGGAGCACGATTCTCACACACGAAGAAGCAACAACTGTGACAGAGTGTCGAGCTCGTCGTGTGTATAATTGTGAGTTCGGTTCGTGTATTTTTTTGTGTTTGAGCAGCGTGTTCTAAGTGCCGAGCTGTGACAGTTGTTAGCCCACCCTCGATCGTATTGTGTGTGTGTTGATTTCATCCGTTCTTTCTGCCTAAGGTGCGCACTACAACGATAGTTATAGCGCGAGAACAAAACGACGACACAGAGACAAGAAGGACATGAAAGACACGAGTGCTCATGTCTTTCGTGTCCTTCTTGTCTCTGTGTCGTCGTTTTGTTCTCGCGCTATAACTATCATCATGCCATACCACCTAGCCCAAGCTGCCACACTTCTAAGTTAGATTTCTAGTTATTCGGGCTCTTTTTCGTAGCACTCGTGTCTTTCGTGTCCTTCTTGTCTCTGTGTCGTCGTTTTGTTCTCGCGCTGTAACTATCGTCATGCCATACCAACTAACCCAAGCTGCCACACTTCTAAGCGCGCTACAAGTTTCGAGCTGTTTGCTGTTCCCCGTGTGACATTAAAATAGGTTCATGTAGCATTCAATCCTTCGCTCTTACGGCGAAACAAAGAACAATATACGCTCAAGTAACTCTGTGACGATACGTTTCAATGTCATGTCATACCTATTCATATGACCGGGGATCAGTCTTGTTTTTAAATATTTTCGCGAGCGCAAGGCTTTTCTCATTAGTGGCTATATGTTGTAAAAATGATAGCTTATTTGGTACACCACTCTGGCAGTGCCTGTGCGCAATAAAGACGTGTCATATTTCATATCTGTCAGACTGCTGTGCGCTTGCTCATTACCTGCTGCGCTGCTTACCGATAATTAATAATTATTGATGGTTGCGTTGCCCTGTTTGTCTGGATTTTGCTATGCTGCTTTGATTGTGATTGTATAGGAGGGTAAATCGTTTTAGAGGCAGCGTGAAACACTTCCGGTGTTACCGCGTGCGGCAGGAATTCTAGCAAATGCAAGAAGATGCCAGCAATCGCAAGTGCTTAGAATATCAGGCGAAGCCACTAAATCGAGTTTTGAAATTCGGCTTAGTATGAAAACTAGAGCGGCGACAGTGTCGTAGTAAATTACGTTGACTCGACGCATCGTGGGCCTTCTGCTCGAATGTGTTTTTAACCATCAATCATTCCTCAAATAGCTGTGCACTCTAAAAAAACATCGAGTAAAAACGGTGTCTTTTTGTCCCACAACAATAATCGTCATCGGGCTCGCGTGTGCTTCCTTTCTTGAAAACTCGGCGCTGGCCACTTTCCTATCGAGAATGCAATGTAACCCTGATAATGGGCGTGTCGATCGTGAGCGGAATGTACTGGGCACGGGGCGATTGCGCAAGGATGGAACGTGATACAGATGACGATTATTGTTGTGGGACAAAACGACACCGTTTTTACTCGCTTTTTTTAGAGTGTAATGCTCAAGTCACCCTTGCACCGGTAGCTACCTGGTGTTATCACTCACTCAATCACTCACGCACTCACTCCTGCCTGGTTCAGGTGGCATCGAGCTGGGCCTGCACTGCAAGCGGGACCAGCTGCAGCACTGGATGGACGTGGCACGCTTTCCCGACCAGCGCTTCGAGCGCTGGCACCCACTGGTCGACGTGCCGCTGGTGCCTTGACGAGCACAGCGGCCTCGCTCCTGCCTCTACGCCCTGCGACAGCTCGCCTGCTCCATGGCGTCAGGCCACACTTCAACCAAGCCATCTCACATCGATCGAAACACCTTTGCGGTGAAGTCGCCACGACGTCATCCCGCTGCACAGAATTCCGTGCCGCGGCGCTGATCTTGTGGGGAGGCACACCATCCTTCTCAGGAGGGCAGACGCACTAACAGCCGTGCCACATGCAACTCTTTATCGCCTTCGAATTCTATAGCTGTTGAGCTTGCCCGGGCAGTTGGACGTGTGGCATTAACACGACACAGAACTGTGCATAAGGTTGTGGCCCCTTATCGTGTGCAACGACGCTACGCCTTGTTTATCGAATGTCTGAAAGTGTCTTGCAGATTCTATGAGTATACTCAGTATACTTTAAGTCACTCTCCTTTGTACAATGGGTCACCATCGATCGTTCGTAAGGTTCGCTAGAAGTCAGATCTTTTACGGAAGAAAGGAAAGAAAACAACACAGCACTGTTTCATGCTTTGATAAACCTAATATAGCTCCTTTTGCTGTTTTCTTTAACTTAATGATGCTCTGTTCTCCATTTATAGTGAATGCTTGCGTACCTTCACGCTGTATGAGCTTGACTTTCATCACTGTCATTGCCCCTTTGTCTACGTTATCGATCGCGCATTGTTGAGAGACTGACGAATCGACAGCTTTCGCTCGTCGTCCTCCCTTTCCTGATCACCTTCTCACCATCGCTGAATCTGTTCTATATACCACTAGCCCCGAAAACATCTCAATGGTGGTCATACTACGTCTCGGTCGGCTTGGATTCTGTTTCAACTAGAGAGAAACAGAGCAAGCTCGGCGATGGGAGCCATCGGTGTGTTGCTGACCGCGGCGAGTGTTGCTGCGTCAAACAGAACGGAATAACCACGTGTCTCACCTCGTTTCCGGGTCATCGGGGCAGGATGCGATAAAGGAGGAGGATGATTGTAGGAGGAAGGACACGGAGGGAGACGTTTCGGGAAAGTCGGGCAGGATGCGATAAAGGAGGAGGATTGTAGGAGGAAGGACAGGGAGGGAGACCAATAGCGTGCTAAATGTTGTGAAGTGAAAGTTATCTGAGTCACAGAGTTTTCTAGGAATCACACGTCGGAATATCGATGGCTACGAGAAACCCTTTTCAAACTACTTCATGCTCCGAGCATCTATCTTTTCATGGAGGGAAGCAGACGAGCCGTGGAAGGGAGAAGGGGGGGGGGGGGGTGTTACGGTTACTGAATAACGTTTCACCCCCAGCTGTTGATAAATCTTATATGCCGCCAATAATTTTTGTTGTGTGTGTGTCATTGCTAGCCACTACCAGCATATGCTGGAGGAAACTAATACGGATAAAGAATGCTACTTGGAACTTTCGTATAGATTTAGTTTTCTTTGAGCTGTGAAAAAACTAGTAGCGCTTTACAGCTGGTAATGGCGAATGCAAGATTTAGTAGAACCGCCACCGTTGCGGTCTAATGGTGCTCGCCTGCCAACCCGAAGCGCGCGGTGTCGAAACCCGGCCACCTTTCGATGGAGGCAGAACACTAGAACCCGTGTGCTTAGATTTAGGCACGCATGAATGAACCCAATGACGTCTAAATTTTCGGTGTGCAGCGCTATGGCGCCCCTCATAACAGTATCATTATTTTCAGAACGTAAACCTCCAACAGCCGTTACCAGCAATCAGCGCAACCTCTAAACTTTTAACCAGTCACTCTGTCCAGATAGTTAAGATGCGTGAATGTGGCTAGTGAGCAGTCTTTTTTTTTTTCGTCGATTTCACACGCTGTACTAGGCTTCCGAAGCGTACTATTCCATACACGCCCAGACAACCCCAATTCCATTGTCGAGAACCGACGCTGCAAGGGGCCTTCACTCGTTCGCTAACACAATGTCGGAAACTTGACTGAGTGACCCCAGTGTCGGGAACCGCCGCCTACACAAATTGGACCCATCGAGAAAGCTTCAAGTTCTATCGGACCTATCCCGCCAAGATGCAACTTTACTGTGCCGCCTGTGGTTAGGAGTAGCTTTTACGAAGGCGTACTCCTTTCGCATAGGAATGGCGGATAACTCCCGATGTGAATCGTGCGACACTGACGAGACAATAGAACATCTACTGTGTTCATGTGAACGTTTTGCGAGCGAACGCAACTTTGCTGCGCGAAACATTAGAGACACTAGACAGTAGACCGTTTTCCGAATAGAAGATTCTTGGTTCATGGCTCTACGCGTCGCAGGCCAGCAAAGCGACGCGGGCATTGCGAAGTTTTCTAAAGACGAGCGGACTACGCGACCGCTTATAAGCGTGCAATGGACAAGGTCACATCTACACACACGTTGCCCTTCACTTCTCCCTCTCGGCTCCTTTAATCCCCTCATTCCTTCCCCCAGTGCAGGGTAGCAAACCGGACGTGCGTCTGGGGACGTGCGTCTGGTTGAGTGTGAGTTGCAGTAGTGTTTCTGTATATGCTCCCTACGGCAGCACAGTTGCGCATTGCTCCGCCACTATTTTAAACGGCTGTGTGGTGAAGCCACGCACTCGTGGCGCGCGCAGGAAAACAAACACGACGCGATGTTCCAGTGCGGGCGACGTGCCGCAGACTTATTCGCACGCGCTGAGAAAGATTACGCTTTTGCAGTGGAGCTCTATACTGCTATGGGTTCTAACAAATGACGTCTACAAACGAAGCGACGCGATGAACAACAATTTTAGAAACGGTGGGTATAGATTCCACCTTCACAGCTTTCAGATGCATGCTACGATGGAACAGCACAAAAGTTTGCTTTTCTGAGCAGTAATTCGCCAAATCGGTAAATGCCTTTCTGCAGCCCACGACCTTTCCTCCCCTGGCTGGAAGGGAAGGAATAGAAGCCTTGAGTGGCGTTTGAAGGAAATTCGCGTACGTATGGTCGACAATCACAGTACATATTGGCCGCCGATGCCAGCTGAATGGCAGCCGTCGACAAAATATCATTGGGCGTGCGATTACGCAGGTGACCGCTGACAAACTTTCATTAGTGATTAACCGTCACTCGCAACTGCTTCACTGCTAGAAAATGTGGCGCAGAAATTTCGCTTCAGATTTATTTCAGATGTCCACGTGAACCGACCGCGCACTTTGCGCAGTACATATTTTAATAATCGAGATAACCTTGTACGTCTTTTGGAACACGATAAGAGACCGTTGTTTGCCGACGGCACGAGTGCTGCCGACACTCGGTTTGCATCATATAATGCACGAAATAGGAATTAAAGCATGCCTAGCTGCATTAGAATGGTGCCCAATGAATTAATTGATAAAACTAAGAACTTGAATTAGAGAAAATCAACGAGAATAAGATAATTAAGAAAACAGTGCAGGTCAGTTTAGTGGATAAGGTAAGCCAAAGTTAAGTAAGGACCAATCAAGCACGAAATATGTGAACTAAGAACGTAACGAACGTCACAGCGAATCTTCATGGGGATGCATGCTGGCTTTCAAAGTCAAGTGATCCTATAGCATGCAATAAGGCACCCCGTCAATTGAAATTTTTAATTCATGCTGAGGAGAGAGAGAAACGCAGCAGCTTTTCAATGTAATTTTATTTGCAGAATGGTAGAAATAGCGTAAATGACAAATAGCTGCCGGCAGTAGGTGCACTACGCCCAGTGATACGTTGCGCACAACAGTAAGTACGACGTACTTTCGAACACTTCGCCAATGTAAGAGACCGATAAACAAAGCGCACACGCTGAAACGCTATACGACTGATGGCGGTCGCGATGGGGCTGACTGAAACTAGTCGGAGCTGATATAGAACGCTCGGGCGCCGCACCATCGTGCACTAAGGTGGCTTCGCAGCGTGAAACTGGACATTTGGCGTCATCTTGCACCACGTGACGGCGTTCGCCGAATAGCGGCGCGAGCGGCTCAAGGAAACGTTATGCGCAACTCTGCTACTAAAGGTACAGCATATAGAGTTACCACTAGAGCCCTATATGGCTGACCAGCTGTCATTGGCCACGATTATCCCTTGTGCTATCCAAGGCCAGTGATCGCCGCGGATAAGCTCGTGATTTCTTGAATGTAATCTGCATCATGATTTACAGAAAGAAACATCACGCTGATTGTTGCGTCAGCGTCTATATTGGTTCGAACATATTATTCATTCGGCAATCTGCTAGCGAAGTAGACCACTGTCCGAGTAATCTGAGAAAACTTGAGTGGTGTGCGTCATTGTGCTGACGACGGCGCACAACCAACCACAAAAGTTTACGAACCACGCGAGCACGTGCCAAACCGCCTGCGTTGCCACGTTGGGGCGCGCCATCTACCGTCCACCGCAGCGCTAAACCAGAAAAGTGGTCTTCTTGTTATTCACTATATATCAATCTTTTATACTTCCGCGCACAACATTCTTAGTTCGTTGTTTTCACGCCAAGCGCTTATTCCGTGGTACGAGCGTCACGCTGATACTTTGATAGTGGAATCTAAGCTTTGACGGCGTGACGATAGGTGTAGCGCGAGAACAGAACGACGACAAAAAGACAAGAAGGACACTTTGTCTCTTTGTCATCGTTCTGTTCTCGTGCTATAACTATCGTCATGTTATACCAACTATCCCAAGCTGCCACACTTCTAAATTTGACGGCGTGCTTCGAATGGTAATACGTTGGTACATATCAATCTGTGAGGATTGCAACTGATAACATTTTCTGATAGACTGCTTTATAAAAACAGACGCACGTAGCCGCGGCTGCCCAAAAGCGCGCCGCGTTAAGAAGTGAAAAGCGGAAAATCTACTTGCCCAATGAAAAAAAAAATAGTCATGCCATCGATTAAAGTATCGATGCCACTTGGGCGTAGCGCTGCTGTCGGTCACCGCTTCCGTAGCAGAAATGTCGCGAAGAGGCCGTTGGCCATGCGCTCACGTGGTCCGTAAGCTTTTATGGTTGACTGTACATTCAGCGCCTGTCGAATAGCTTTTTCACGACGTCAGTGCCAAAAA